GATGGATGGATGGATGGATGGATGGATGGATGGATGGATGGATGATGGATGGATGGATGGATGGTTGGGTTTGATTGATGGATGGATTCAGGCAGTTACACTGTTTGTCCACCAGGGCGCTCTCTCACATTTATTTTGACTGCTCTGATCTTCTGTTTTCATTCAGTGTTTGATTGAGAAAATAATTGTAGCTTGTTGTCCTTTTGAAACAGCAGTAAAGAACCTCCTCACACAGACTGGCACTCAGTTCCACTAAAAATGTTAGTTTGTTCTAAACGTTATTTGATTAGTGGTATAATATCTGCTGACCGCAGTATGTACAGAAGTAATCTCCTTTAATAAACGCACCGCAGAGCGAGACACAGATGCAGGTTCTGTGGGGTTTGTGACACTCAGCCCAGTTTAAATACAGCAGATATGCTAAGGCAGGTTTGCTGTCATTTCTGCCTGTGCTGCTGATGCTCTCTCCTCAGGGGGAGCTTTAGTGCAAGCAGTGCTCAACATGTCTAACCTGTAAATTCTGCAGACTAGATTTATATAAATATCTTCTTCTATCTGGGATGAGCTCCGAACAGCTTTGGCTCCATTTTGAATTTTCCTTTTAATTCAGCTTCTACTTTCTTTATGTAGCATCGGCATCATATCATTGTATTGAGATGGAGCAAATGAAATATCTAACTGATTAAACACACATGCAACAACAGGTCGGGGCTGTGAGATGAACCTGAAAGTGCCTGTGGTAGTTTCAGAGAGAGCCCACCAGCTCCTCATTCACCAACATCTAATGAACCTTTTGCAAACAGGTTACATAACACCTGCAGGATCAACAGTACACAGCGGGGCTTCACAGTTGGTGGCTGAAACTCTATAAGAGCAAGTTTGAACTGGCGTCCAATGCAGTTCGGCAGAAGCACTTGGCAGAGCTCATGTTCAGACCAGTCGAAATTAAAATCCCCAAGGGGGGATTAAAGACTCATTAAAACACGGCTACAAGAACAAGTGTTTTCTGATCAACAGACACCATCAAACAGCACAACACTTTCAAAGATCCCATAAATCCATACAGATCGGATCCTTATCCATAACTCTGTGTTTAAATGAGCTAAAGAAAGTCATTCAACTGGAAAATGCACACACAGCAGCTGCCATTGCTTTGTCCTGGCATGATCTGAATATTTCTACAGAACTGCTGTTGGAGAAGCAGATCTTAATAGCAGAGATTATTTGTTTGGAACATGTGGTAATAAGCCCACCCTGGTCAGAAACAGGCCACACCTTCTGCTCTAACTAAAACTCTTCTCTGTCTCTCTTACAATTTAACTTCAAGCAGGATTTATTAACAGCTTGGTCACCTATGGCGTGCTTTAAATCGACTCCACCGTCTATGCAGGTTTTCTGGCCATGATCTGCTGCTCTGACCGCCACATCGCCAGCATTAGACAGGAAAAGACCAGTTATCAGTGTAAACAGCAGAAAGTTTCAGATTAGAACCAGAACACTCCAGGATTGAGTCATAGAGGGTGTGCCGCACTGCTGCTGTCACTTAGCATCCCAGGCCAGCAGGAAGAATGCGGCGCCTCGGAGGCCAGCTCTGAAACTGACAAGTTTAGAGACTAAAACTGAAGAAGCTGAATAGGGAATTTAATTCTTTGCTTTGTTTTTAGTTTCTTTTTATTTTTTTTCACTTGGTAACTTTTCTGAATCGCTTGCAGATTGTTTTGCTGTTGCACCATCATCTTACATTAAGTAGTTTTCCAAACTGCATAATCATAATTTTTTTTTATTTTACTGGTAATGAACATGAACAAGTGTGGAAAAAAAAAAAAACAAATAGGGTGGAGCTGCATTATAATCATTCCTTCACTGACTGCGGGGGGGTTATAATTTGGCTGCCACAGTAGAAACGTTGGTGGCCAACCAAAAGCCAGAGAAAAATCCTTAATTTCTGGAGAGGTTCAAATAAATCAGAAATCTCATCTAAGCATGCCATGGGGGCCAGCAAGAAACTCCAGAACTTATTGACAGCTTATTACACGTACACTTCAAAAATATATTTTTGATTTTGTGTTCTTTTGTATATCTAACAGACACACTTTAATAAATGTTTCTTTAAATATTTCAACTTCCTGTTTTAGGTTTGTATTGACCAAATCAGTGACTTCTCTGCACAATTTAATCTTCAATTTAGTAAATAATGTGAAGTGACTGCCCTCAGTATCCCAAGAATAAATCTCTCCAGGTTCAACAGTTGCAATCCATGCCCACAATGCAATAAATCAAGTTTAGTAAACTGTAAATAAAGTCTAAGAAGCCATAGAAGCAGGTGTGGTTTGAAAATGACCTCCAGATGATTCCTCTGCTCTGGGCTCCATGCAAACTTAAGCTCTGCGTAATGTTTAAGTTTCACTGAGATATCAAGCAGCAGAGGAGATGGGCTCTGGGCTACAGGTTTAACTGAGTTATGGGAGGGGCAGCAAGAATTTCTTATCCGACAATCTTTCTAGGCAGGACAGCTGAATACTGATCAAACCTGTTGGTACAACTTTATGACCCAGCTTATCAGCCACACCCGCGCTGGAGTTACAGTGCAAAATGGGGGAAAATGTCTCCAAGTTCTTTGTAAACACAAAATAATTGCGACCAGATGTGGTTTAAAAACACCTCACCTGCTCAGCTGCACAGGTGAGCAGAGCTGAGCAGATCTATAGATCTGCCGGACCAGCCTGACAGCAGTCAGTGCCTGAGCGGGTGCGCCTGGTTCAGGACACCCAGCCCAACCAGTCGATACCACTGAATAACTGCGTCATTCTTTCAGTTTTACTCCGCTTCTATGTTATCACTCTATTGAGAGCTTTCCAGAGTAAAATGAAGAAAACAACACTTAGAAAAGGCGACGAGTTAAAGGATCAGACGCTCAGACCAAGGTCAACCCATTTTCCACTATCAGGTTTTCCTGGAAAACACCCGGCTGCTGCTGAAACACACAGGAAACATTTCCCTGCTCCAAATTCAAGCTTTTACCTGGACTTTGGCTGCACCGTGGGCGCGGGGGTTATAGAAGCGGTCTTCTTGCTCTTCTTAAACATGATGACAGGTCACCTGTCCGCGCGTTCCTCTGAGAAGTAGGACAGGTAGAGCTCAGCTGGCTGTGAGTCCGCTGCTGCTTTATCTGTAGGAGAGAAAAATGTCCTCAGAGTGTAAGGCTGGCCCCTCCCGCTGTCACTGCGCACACAGTTAATGAACTCATCACCTTTAGCAGTCAGTTTTACTCCACCTGCCTGCCACCAAGGGAGGCTCCGCCCCCTTTTTCCGTCAGCCTCCAAAGCTGCACCAACAAATAGAGGAATGCAGTGGTGGAGCTAGACTTTTACTGGTTGGAGGAGGGAGGGGAGGGGGGGCGAGTGGAGAGGGGGGTGGGAACTTAAAAAATAATAATAATAAAAACAAAACAAACAAACAAAAAAAAATATATATATATATTTTTTTAAATATATATAAACCTATTTTTTTTTTACATTGGCCCCTGATTTTACGTTATTCCATCATGTTCTACTCACCCATATGAGTTTTGTGTCATTTGGAGCCATTCCGTTAGGTTATATCCCAGTAACGTCTTCCTATGGGCAACGACTTGAAGGCACAAACTAAACTGTTCATAATTTATTCTTTATGGTACGCCAGCATTCAGAACAGGTAGGCAAATCACTGTCCCCCAGACATCCGCGGTTATATTTTTCATATTTTTATCTTTTGAAAACAAAGCGGCGCGTGTATGACATTATCCGCGCGCGCTGGCTACCGTTCATTCATCCGGTTCGCTGAACTGCTGCTAGTTTTCCTCACATGCCTGGAAGATGTCTAGTGCTGCTACCACAGATGATCTCGCTCTCCAAATGGAATTGAACGATTCAGATTAGCTAGAATGAATAGAAGTGGTAGAGCGTAGCCGCCTGTGGCCCAGGCTGCCTGTCACAACTCCAGTCCGGCGCTGGGGGACAGTGATTGGCCTACATGTTCTGAATGCTGGCGTACCATAAAGAACAAATTATGAACAGTTTAGTTTGTGTCTTGAAGTCGTTGCCCATAGGAAGACATTACTTGGATATAACCTAACTGAATATCTTCAGTACAGCTCCAAATGACACAAAACTCATATGGGTGGGTAGAACATGATGTAATAACGTAAAATCAAGGGTCCAATGTAAAAAAAAAAACGGCATTCCCCTTTAATTTAGTGGAACTAATAAATGCTGAAGAGTTGGAGAATATATATAGTATGACGGATAATAATGGAAACTCGTCTCTATGTTCTCCAGCAGACTAAGCCTATAGCAGCTTAAATGTAGAGGATGTACTGCTGTCATCAGCCAGTATCTCATATGCTCAGCATATAGGTGTACCAAACAACATGAAAAAATGATGGCATCTCATTTTATTGCTTTCCTAAAGACCCGGAAAGGCAGGAGGAATGGGAGGCTGCTGGAAGGAGACAGAGCTGGCAACCAGGAGAATGTGTGGCGAACACTTCTTATAATGGTTAGATGTTATGCTTAAATTATTGCAGTAGAGATTTTATTCCTTTAGACCGGAGATCTTCAACAGCGGGTCCGTGACCCCCAGGGGGTCCACGAAGGTACTGCATGGGGGTCAGAAATGTTTTCATTGATTAGTCTTTTTTTATATTTTCCCCTCCATTTTTTCCCCACTAATTGAAATGTCTTTAAATCCACATTAACATGAATTCAACACACTTTAGTAAACAGATAAATGGAGGAAGAAGATGTCTTTCAGTCATCGACTCACACATTCAGAAACACACAGGAGCTCTTTCAAGCTGGGCACCGTTTCATTCACAACACCTGTCCCATCAACCAGGAATCAGAATCAGAAATACTTTAATAATCCCAGGGCGAAATTACTTTTATTACATTACTTCATATGTAATAGATTGACTATAGGACCAGTTTGATAGAACACAATTTCATACAATATATATAATTAAGGGATCACCGCTCCATCTCCCCATCAGTTTGGGGGTCCTTGGCCTGGAAAACGTTGAAGACCCCTGCTTTAGACAAATGTGGAAATTGCCTCAAAATTTCATCTTTTAACAGGAATGCAGGGTTTCCTCCAATGTGTTTTAAGCCTTTGGGTAGCCAACTTTACTCGCCACCCAACCAGGATAGACGACATCTTGTATTTTAAATGCGGCAGTATTTAAGAACTACATAAATCGGAGAGTAGTTTCCACCTCCGGAAGAAAACCTCCAAGTCTGAGAAGCTAACACAGAAGCTGTTATTATAGCCTGACACACAGTATGTCCACCAAACTGCCCTCCTTCCAGCAGCATGACACAACGCATAGAGACAGTTGACCTATAGTGAACACACCAGGGTAAATTCTCAGCCCGCATTAACAGTTATGCATAACTGTATGTTGATCTACCTCATGCAGTCCCAGTCAATCAGAACACAACGTTAACCAGTTCAAGCTGTGTAATGACTCTCTTTTATTGAACAATCTGATAAAACCTGCCTTCTAATAGTGAGAGTTTCACCATATGCACCCACACTTATCCACATTAGTGCATTGGTGGAACTGATGGGTACCAGCAGAAATCATGATGATATTTCTTGTGACATAAACACATGAAGAGCAGCGGGTTGGAACTATGTGTTGCTGTGTGTTTGTCAGCAGCAGGTAAGTGCTGTTGCTGGGGGTGTGCCAACCAAGACTGCACAGGCTCAACCAGTATGACTTGAAACTGGGTGTATTTACATTTTACTGAAAGATGTCACTGAAAGACGTGTACATATCACAGTGATACAACTGTGGTACAACTGGGTGGTACAATTCTAGATACAGGTGAAAATATTTTAGAAATATGGAAGAAATTGTGAGTCTTTTGGATTTTGTATGCAACTTTCACAATTGTCAAGATTGGCTGGCCTAATTGCTCATTTCATTCACCTGTCTAGCACATAACTGCTCATTTGATCCACCTGCTCCTGCTTCCATTTAAACTTCTTGTTCCCAGCCATCTGTGCCAGATTACTTTTGATCCTTTGCAGTTTTAGAGCGTTACTTAAGTGTTCTGTTTGCCTAATCCTGAACTGTTTCTGTATTCTGACTTTTGACCTACCTGCCCCTGTCTGCTCTGAATGCTGACCTGTCTTCGGACTCCTGTTGGATTATTCTGTGAAATGAACTGATCTCCTGTCAGTTCTGTAGCCTTCTAGGCTTCTGCGTCTGGAACTCTATGTCAGCGTCCTATGCGTCTTGTCATCCTACCCACTGGAACCACTCTCGTTGTCTGGGCACAGACTGAAATGTCTAACTCAAGCGTTCATAATCATCCTCCGTCAGATTATCGTGGTCACTAACCTGTGTTTCTCTCCAGCAGAGATTCCTGCCTTAGACAACCTAGCCGCTGCTACTGCAGAACTACAGATCTGTGTTTTAAATAAAAGTTTTTGAGTAATCCCACTGTCTATCTTGCCATGAATACTGGGTCGTGTGTTCTGAGTCATAATATAAATAATTTTTCCATTTGAATATTCTCGTCATGTTTAAGAGTTTAAAAGTTTAAGAGTGTTTATCTTTTTGAGGGAACCTTGAGCTGAAACTGAATTCCTTCTCCGTGCTAATGGTCTCCACACTAATTAACTGTGTCTTCAACAATAACTTTTGGATTCTATCTTCATGACAAACATAAGGCTCCCCAAATTTCATCTCATTCCATGTTACCTGCCCCGCCCACTTGTACTTATGGTTCAAGAAGAGTAATATAGACATAACCGCAGGACTCAAATAATTCCAGCTGGCGTTCGACTATCAACTACAAGTAATATCTCTCCTTCATATGTCAATACTGGAGGAGGGAGAAGCCGTTCAAAACAAAACAATACAAACAGATCAAATCTATCTAGATAGCACTTTTAAGAACAGCTGCAGTTGGACAAAGTGCTGCAATTACACACAAAAAATATTACTCCATGGTTTTAGAGCTCCAGTTCCATTCCCAAATATTTGTTATATGCATTGTGAAGATGACTTTTTAATCCTCACAGAGATGGGAAATGTGGAGTCAACAAGTCATCTCCATGTCATGTGTTTAATCTACCCAGCCAATTAACCAGGTCAGTCCAATCTGCACAGGTTAATTCACGGTGAATATTGGACTCACCTGCTTCAGTGGCTGGGTAGAGCAAATACGTGACATGAAGATGACTTGTTGACTCCACATTTCCCATGTCTGCGTTCTCAACTAGAAAAACTACTTGGGAAAACGTTAATTCTGACACACAACAGGCAGATATCAGCTTATAATATTATGGTTATTCACACATCATCAATATGAATAATTCTAACAAACAAAATACAAACAAATGTTTTAAGAAGAGTTGTATTTATTTATTTGAGGGACTGTATACCTCGAATGATCCTCCTACTTCACACCCACCCATACGAGGTAAACCAATATTTAGGTAAAACCAATGTCTTCATTTGTAAACAATTAATTAGTAAACTGTCTAGAATATGGATAAAAAAGGATTTATTAGAATTTCTACCCATCGAGAAAAAAATTATTAAAAAGACAATGAAAAGATATGATTTACATCAAAACAACATCTACATTTGGTTAAAAACTAAAAGGTGAATAGCTGTAACTTTCAGCTTGTCGATTGAAAGATGTTTCACACTGATTTTGCATCTTTTCAAAGTCTATTATTGGACTCAAGTGGGACGAAGTCAAATCGAGCAAACAGCCCAATTTTCAACAACTATTTCTTGACTAAATCCAGACTATGGCGGACCGACCAGATTTAGCCTAAAAACCAACTTCTAAATGAAGTCTGGTGTTTGGGGGGGTAAGCCTATAATAAAAAAGCAGAGGATTTTGTCGTGATAGACCCCAGAAGGAGAGACAAACATCCATAAAATCAATCGGTTTTAAACAGTTGGGATTAAATTGGATCCGAAAAAAATTCCTTGGTACTGCGTTTCAGTTCCTGTCATAAGAAGACATGCTGGAACATGCCGGATTGTCATTCTGCCAATGACACAAACCATTGCATAGCCGGCTTCCTCTGCACAATAGAAATCACTTACATATCCTCACTAATCTATAAAGAGACTTTGCCTCCCAGTTTGCCTTCTTTATTCCTATGTCAACCATAACAACTGACCTGGGCGTTTCCTTTTCAAACATACTGTTTTAGTAAATTAATTCATTCTTTTATG